TTTTATGGTTTTGCTGTTAGTTACTAGACCAATTCAAGCATCCTTTTCATGTCTACTCTGCATACAGTTACTGGAACACTGCATATACACTGGTAATATGGACAGAAGAAGTGTGTAGGAGATGTATGAAGAATGAGTTTTTTGATAACTGCTGACTGGATGTTCATGAAGTATTAGAGATTATTTTGACAAGTAGATTTAGGTGAGCTAAACATTAAAAAGAAAAGAACAAAGGCTTACATACAACTGAAATTGAAAAGTACTTTTCCTATATAATATATATAGGTTTTTAAATGTGAAGTTAGAAGAAAATATAATTTTAATCCTGTATAATTTAGATATTTAGCACTTTAAAGAATGAAAAATGAAGGAAACCAAATATTTAAGAATGTGTTCTTAGTTTCGGTATAAATCCGTATGTATTTATTTTGTATCTGACGGACTTGGCCATGGAAAGTGCTGGGCTGCTCTACTCCTGTTGAAGTTACTGGGAGTTAAGGATATTCCGGACATTAGTGGTAATGGACCTCCTGTAATTGTATTTTGTTTTCTGCTGCCTTGAAAGAGATTTTGTGTGTGCACGCGGCCTGATCCAAAGTCCTTTGAAGTGATTGGAAATATTCCCATTGACAGTGAGTTTTACTTCAGGCTCCTACTGACTATCAAGCGAGTAGAACATCTAAGTGAACCCACTGTGTATAGAATGCCACACTGCACTTATAGGGCTTTAACTCTTGCTAGTGTGACAGCTGTGGATTATGAAGGGCTAGCTTACAAGGAGAAGAGACTAATTAGCTTGGCAGCATGTCCTGTTCCATGACATGGACAGCCTAGTCTGTGGGTTTGCCAACTCTCCCATACCCTTCATTACCTCTGCGTGGATGAGAACAGGCTAACCATGTTACCTTCCCTCATATCACTAGTAAGAAAAGGAGCTGAAAGACAGCAGAAAACACAGTTGTCTTCTATCAAAAAAATAAATAAAATAAAATAAAAATGGGTGTTGAGAAGAGAAATGATGCTGTTCACTTCTTAATACAGGAAAGGCTAATGTAATTCAGGGTGATGTAACTTCTAGGCCAAGACTTCTCCTCTGGTGGGATGAGACACCAAAATAAAAATAGCAAACTCCCACCCTCACTATAGGGGATGGGCTTGGAGAGAAGGAGGAATTTGCTCGCTCCTCCTTGCTCTGCCACTGCTCCACCAGCCCCCCTCCATTCCCAGAGCAGCTTCTCAGGCCTCCCCCTTCCCTCCACACAGCACTCCCTCTGTGGAGGGAAAGCCTGGCTTCAAGAGGCATCTCCCAGCCTCTTTTACTGGTGCTGCCCTGGAGCTGAGCACTGTGCACAGAAGAAGTCCCCAATCCAGAGCCCTAAATTATCCGCAGTTTCTTGCCATGACTCCAAATGCAAAAACCTTCATGGCTGGAATGGATTATGGGAGCTGGAAGGTCATGCCAAGAAGCCATGGGTGGTCTTTGGGAGGTTGAGAGACAATGCATTAGGCCACCTGTGATTTATTAGGAAGTGGCGTGGTTTATTAAAGTGAGTATTGGGATTGCCTCTGGAATTCTAATCTCTGCTCCCCGTCACTCCATTGGTAACTAAGGAAGCATCACTTGCACCATGTATCAAACAGAGATAATAGCCAAGGGTGTTGGGAGGACTGAATGATGTTTGCAAAGAGTTTTTGAAAGTGGAACGTGCTGGCTGGCTGCTCAGTATTATTATTTCTAATTTAATTGTGTATTGACTATGAGAACATCTCTCACCACACAGGTGCACTCCCAGAGAAAAAGTTGCAGTGTCCCAGAGCCACTCGTCTGAGAGTCCCTGGGCAGGGTTAGCCCCTCTGAACATTGAGCCTCCTGTGCCCTGCATTACAGATGCTCTTTTTGGACGCGCATCTGAAGAGGTGGGTTTTTTACCCACGAAAGCTTATACCCAAATAAATCTGTTAGTCTTTAAGGTGCCACCGGACTCCTCGTTGTTTTTTTTCCACAAGGAGTGTTTCCCCTCGGCCCCTTACCACCTGATTATACAGGTAGCTTCTCTTCCTTGATTCAGGGGGTATTTATTTATTTATTTGACAGGAGCACCTGGAGACACCAGCTGAGATCTGGCCCCATTGTGCTGGTGCTGTGAATCCACATAACCTGCTGGGAACAGCTCGCAATCTAAATAGACAAGGACAGGAATACAAGTAGAGGTGTAGAGAGGTGAACTGACTTGCTTAAGGACACATAGTAGGTCAGTACCATGGGTGGCAGGTGACCTGTCGGCTCAGGGAGGCTAGCTCCCACCCCTGCCTGAGGCCCCTCCGGAGCCCAGAGTCCTCCCCTCCCTGCGGCTGCTAGCCCCTTCCCCCAACTCGCCAGGCTGGGTGACGTGCAGCTCCCAGCCCCAGAGTGCCAGACAGGCAGTGCATGGCCCCCCCAGTCCCCAAGCACCGGGCGGTGCACAGCCCCCCAAGTGCTGGGCGGGTGGCGCACAGCCCCCTCCCCCAGTGCCCCCAAGCACAGGGCAGGCAGCCCCCCGCCAGTGCTGGGCAGCGTGGCCCCACTGCCTGGGGGCCCCTCAGTTCTCAGAGGCCCCAGCCACCCCAAGTCCCGGCCACAGGCCAGCCATGGCCTCCGTAACCCTGGCCCCAGCCCCAGAACGCTTCCCTGAAGATGAGTGACCCGCCTGCCTGGGCTGGGGCCAAAGGGGAAGGGCATTAGGGCAAGCAGGAGGGGGCCTTCTGGGCAGAGCGTGGGTAGGGCCACACCAGGCTCTTTCAGGAGGTACAGCCTTCCCCTACCTATGCCACGCACTGCCTATGGTCAGTACCAGTGCTGGGAGGAGAACCCAGGCATCCTGAGTCCCACTCTAGTGCCCTGTCCATCAGACCACACATGAGCCCTACCTCCCTGCAGTATAAGGGCTGGTTTACATACTACTTTACCTTTGTCACTTTACAAATCAGTATAGTTAAAGCAGTACCACCCCCTGGAGAGAATGCAGTTATACCAGTGTACAGGTGCTTATACCCTCATAGCTTATTCTTTCTCGAGTGCTAGCACATGTCCAACGGATACCACTAGGGGAAACATCTCTGACAGCCGTGCTTGGGCACTCGCACACCTAAATCGGAATGGACATGTGCAACACATCTCGAAGAACAAGTTACAAAAGGTAGGTAACCATTTTTCCCTGTACATTTATGGGAATAATCTATGCCGCTCGCTCTGGTGGAGTTCCGGAGTCGACGGTGAGCGTGTTCGGGGATCGATATATCGCGTCTCAACGAGACGCGATATATCGATCCCGGATAAATCGATTGCTACCCGCCGATATGGCGGGTAGTGAAGACGTACCCTAAGGAGGGGGTTGTACTACATTAATTAGGTCAGTTTCTAAACAGATACAGTTAAAGCTGTCTATTAACAAGTCCTAAGACTGGATGATGCCTTACAACCAAGACTGAGATTTTAAAATGAAGTAATCCCCAGCCATGGCTTTTTGCAATTAGACTGATCAAACATGTCCTGTTTATAATGCCTTCAGCCTTTTACTTTCCTCGAGAAGATGGGCAAGAATATAGTTTGGGGGGGGGGGAAGCAAACAGCCTAATGGATATATAACAACAACCCCTGTGCTGCCCAGGGAGGAGAAATGTCCCCATTTGTGTTGGACGCATGTGGAAGGCCATCAGACATGCTATCGTTGGCCGGCATCCTACCCCATCATCTGACTGCCACAGTGAGTGGATAAACCGGGCTTTGGTTCCATGGGCTTGTTTCTGTTGTTGCTGAGTTTTCCATCTGGTGCAAGGAATGTGCCGTGGAGAGTAACTGAGGGTCAGCTGAGTTTGGCTATTGGAGAGGCAGGATTTACCATGAATGGGGGTGTATAAACGTTACGGTTACCACCTAGCCTTAGGGTGAACAACATGTGATGCACGATTCGAGCTGAACGCATGGGCACCAATGTAGGCAGCCCTCGGAGCCTTACACATGTGAGCATCAGGTCTTGTTTGTGAGGAAATCCAGCATGGCATTGCCCAGTCTGCTGTTTGTGCCTTCTGTGCCTGTTGTCACGCAGACGTGCCAGCCACCACTTCTGCAGCCCTGTTGAGGAGTAACTGAAAAACAGCCTCCATATCAGTGCAAAGAGGCATTATTCCTGGCAATATGGAACAGGAGTGAGTCATAATTTAATGTATCCATCTTCGCTACAGACTGTGAGAGGTCTCTGCAGAACAGGATTTAACAATCTGGACTCTATCTCCCATCTGCATGCTGCCTCCTAAGCATAAAGTGGCCTTCCTATCCCAGTTGCTAGTCTAGTTAATAGTCTGTTCACAGCCAAGACCCTCTTTAACCCTCACTTCTACAAGGCAGTCACAAAACGGAAAAACGTCGCTCAAAGTTATTCGTTCCGCTGGGCTCCTCACTGGATCTTGTCTTCTTATTTCCATTGAGTCACATTCACTCACCCTGCTTCTCTGTGCAGACCTATGTGTACCATAAGTAGAACTGGTTAAAAAGTAAAAACTAGTTTTACAACAAAAGTTTCAAATTTCAACATTGATTTAATGGGAAAGGATTCAGAATAGACAAATTATTCACGTTTTTGAAATTTTGCAGGGATTTTTTTAATCAAACTTTTTTCTACATGTTTTTTTATCAAAATGATGTTTGGCATTTTTTGAGGATCTGAGCCCAGTTTTTATTAAACAAACAAACCCCCCAATAACTAGTTCAAGAATATTTTTGAATAAAAAATATGAAAATTTTCACCCAAAATGAAAATTTTGGACAATGTCAACAATTTATCATGGAAAAAAAATCCACTTTTGAAAAAGAGGCAGAACACAACACAATTAGACTGTGGAACTCGTTGCCACTGGATGTCATCGAGTCCAAGAACTTAACAGGATTCAAAAAGAGACTGGATAATTATATGAATATCAAGCATATCCAGTTATAATAATTCATGATAACACAGATTTTGAAAGGTGTGTTAAACCTCCTGCTTCAGGACTTAAAACAATATCTAACTATTAAAGAGCTGAAGGACCTGAGTGGAGGACAGATTATCTCACAGCTGCCTTCTGATGCATCTGCTGTTGACTGCCATCAGAGACAGGCAACTGGATAGGTTATGTGGGTGATCCAGACTGGCAGCTCCTATAGAATTTCCCCCTTAGATTATAACCACTTTGCAGCAGGGACGGCCTTTGTTCTCTGTCTCATACGGTGCCAAGCACGTTACCATCATTTAATTAATAATTAATTAAGAAAGCACTGATTGTGCTTGGTGCTGCCACCCTCATTTGTTTACCAAGATATAGTGGGCCAAGCTTCCCAAGAGACTGGCTGGCACAAAGGGGCTGTTACACGAGTGATTTCCCAGCCTGTACAGATTTCTCAGTCCTTCGGGAAGAGCTGGGCCCAAGGCCTCAAGCGTTCGATTGAACAGTGCCTCAGGAGAGATCAGCGTCTTGTTTCATCAAGCCCATCTGCCTGCAGCTCCGCATCCTCAGACAAGCTGTTGTCACTACCAGCAGAGCTGACGGGAGATATTTTGAAAAATCAGACCTCCATGTGTAAACACGGTGAGAGGATATGGGAGTTAGCCATCTCGCTACCAGGCACGTACGGTGCAGTCCTAGGCACGAAAGCCCCAATTCTGCAAACACTCATGCACGTGCTTGACTTTAATTGGTCTCCTCAGCTGGGTACAGTTAAGCACGTGCAAAAGTGTTGGCACACTCGGGGCCCACATCTGTGTTTAAATTTAGGGGGACCATTGAAGTTGGAAGCTCAAAATATGACACACACCCTATTTAAATAAATGCATTAGAGCCCATATTTCCTTAGCTTCTCTTAATCAGGGATTGCGTAGATCACCATATTAGACAGCTGTCCAGAACATTTTTGTGAGGGGTGTTTTGTATGTCCGGTTGGTCTATTCATTTTGTTTAAGCATCAGGAGCCCAGTTCTCATGAGTAACCTTATGCCAATGAATTACCATGTGCTTATGGCAGAGACAAACATTCCGTGAAAGGCTGGAACCCTGGTTCATGTGTGATGGTCCATGAGGCAGGTGTTAACAAAACAACCACTTGACAATGATTTGGCAATAGGTGAACTAGGACCACAGCCTGTCCTGCTGACAACTACTGCCTCACCGTCGCCATGTGCTCCCCATCTCTGGTGCATTTCCTTGTCATCTCTTGTCTGATATTAGATTGCAAGCATGTCAGGGTAGGGACTGTTTTTTTGTTCTGTATTTGTACAGCGCCTAGCACCAGGAGACCTTGGTGCATGATTGAGGCGTGTAGGTACTGCCAGAACAGAAATAATAATAATCATTAATAATAGAAAAATAATTCACAAGTTGACTGCCTCATTCACTGTGGATTTGGAGGGATTGCAGGCTATGAAGTATGGGTCACACATTGAAAGACAAGGATAAAAATAAATCATGAATAGCTGTCTCACCTAACTTGGGCACTGAGGGTGAAATTTAGCCCTGCTCAGAGAATAAGAATAAGGCTTATGCACCCCTGAAACTTAAATCTTCACAAAAATAAGGCTTCCAGGGGTCTTAAGTGGGGCCCAGACCTTTTCCCGACTCTCTCCATGGGGTTGAATTGCACCCGTAATGAGACAGGAATCCTTCAGGAAAAAATAGCATGTGATCATGTTAAGGACTGTGTCATAATGCACCATGGGGAGGAGTTAAGGTTGCTTTTTCTGACTTTGTTGGTTTGATTTTGCAAGTTGATTATTCTTTTACTGTAGTTCTTCGGTATACGTTTTTGTATGGAGTATACATTTTAATTTCAGAATACGAAGTTATATAAACGGAAAGCCCTGGCATTTGGTCAATCATTCCCTGTCCTCCATTCCAGTAGTGAAGGCAGGAGTTCTGTAGTTCATTATTTTATTATGCAGATACTAATATTTTTATTAATGTTGGGTT